GACAACACTCTTCACAACAGAATTTTTTAAGAAAGTTGTTTTACTACCCAAACTCGTGTAAATAAAGGGTTTATAAGAAGTACTTCCTACAGAATCTTTCACGAGGCTTTCCTTCCAAGCAGCATTTCTGTGAGGACAGGTTTCCTGTTCCTTGTGCAGCCCTGCCCCCGTGGGGGCCCAGGCTTTAACAGCACTCAGAGCAGATCCTGCTGCATCTGTGACCATGCTCGGGGTCCCTGGGGGTCTGTCCCGACACGGCATGCAGCTCCTGGGTCATCCTCCATCACTGGGACAGGGGAACGCAGAGGAAAAAAGGAAAAATGAAGTTTGTTGTTTAACGCTCCAGACCAGTGCTCAAATAGCTGATGTCTCCTTACACGTGAAGGAATCGCCAAAACTCCGTGCAATCATTTTAAATTAACTCTCACATCACTTCTTGTCCCTCCAACACCTTACCCTGCACCACACCCTCTCACTCTGCATTGCCCTCACACACCCATAGCGCAGCACAGCAGGTTTAATCCCACAGCTCAGCATCAAACCAACTCCTTTCAGAACACTGTTCCACCCTCTGGAAATCAAAACTGCCTCAACTGCCACCTGTTACCAGGATTCTACAGTTTTCTCCCAGGGAATTCATGGTCTGGTTTCAATTGTAAGGTCTAAAGAATGCTCAGCTACTGAAAACAGCTCCTGCTGCTGAGGCCAACCACCTCATTTTCATCCTTTCAGTCACTTCTGTTGCATCAGTTTTATCAGTATCAGTTCTCCTGTTGCCTCTCAGGGTGCTGTTACACATCCTCACAACGTGGCCACTCTGAACTTTCTTCTACTCCCCAGTCAGTTACAACAAAACTCACATTCATTTAGAATACAAGAATTACAAACATAATTTATTAAACCCTCCCTCCCAAGAAGAGATCCAGCAGTTACTGTTTCACCAAAAGTCAGTTATTGTCCTTCATCCATTGCTCAATCCATTGCATAATCAGATCCAAATTTCTCTCTAGGTCCTCTGGAGTGTTGCTGGGTAACTGGTGCACAATTTCCTTTTTATAGGACAACACAGCTTCCTCATACAGAGTCTGAAAAATTTCGCACTGAATGTTGTCCTGCAGCTTCTTGCCCGTGTAGCCCCTGGGGAGAGAGCAGCAAGAGGCAGAGTGAGGCACGAGGGGAGGCTGAGGAGGGGTTTTGGGGGCAGAGCAGGGCCGCAGAGTGACACACCTGCTGTGCAGCCTGTCGTACAGACAGGAGTTGTCTGTGCGCAGCACAAACACGATGTGGAACCAGCGCTCGGGGAAGAAGTCACAGCCGTGGTAATCCACAATCACCCCTCCCTCGCTCATCCTGGCCTCCAGCTCGTCCACCACCTGCACACACACAGAGAGGGGGAGAGCTCAGCCTCACCTGCACTGCACAGCCAGGGGGGGATCAGCCTCACCTGGAAATGCACAGCCCCAGAGAGAGAGAGAGGGGCTCAGCTGCACTGCACAGAGAGACAGACAGAGGGGCTTGTGGGAATCCACACAACCAGAGGGTTTGGGAAAGCTGCAAAAGGCAGGCCC